CTATTGAAATGGGATGTATCTTATGGGGCACTAGAGTAGTGATCCCATCAAAATTACAAACCAAAATTCTTAATGATTTGCACATTGGACATATGGGAATTGTAAAAATGAAGAGTTTGGCAAGATCTTATTGTTGGTGGCCTGGCATAGATAAACAAGTTGAAGATATTGCAAAAAGCTGTAATGCATGCCAAATTATACAATATAAACCTCAGATAGCACCTACACACCCATGGTTACCTTCAACTGAAAAGTGGGAACGAATCCATGTGGATTTCGCAGGTCCCTTTGAGGGACGCATGTTCCTAATTATAGTAGATGCCTATTCAAAGTGGCCTGAAGTGATAATAATGGGTTCAACTACAGCCACTAAAACAATTGAGGATACTATTTAGTAGGTATGGTCTCCCTAAAATAATTGTATCGGATAACAGGTCACAATTTACTGCAAGTGAGTTTAAAGATTTTGTGACCAGGAATGGTATAATTCATAAGTTCTCTTGTCCTGGCCAACCATCCACAAATGGTCAAGCGGAAAGGTTTGTGCAAACCATGAAACAAGGCATACGTGCATCTAAAGATGATGGTTGCACAATTCAAACAAAATTGAGCAGATTCTTGTTAGCTTATCGAAATGCTGAACATGGCTTAACAAAACAGAGTCCTGCACGAGTGTTCATGAGTAGACCATTAAGGTCCAGGTTAGATATGCTAAGACCTAGTATGACTGATTCAGTTCGAGGTAAACTGCATGATCAAATGCAAAAATGTAAATCAAAGATTAGGACATTTGAGGTCGATGACAAAGTGTTTGTTCGAGATTTCAGGGAAAGAGAACCGAATAAGATCAAATGGACACCAGGTGTAATAACTAAGAAACTTGGTCCATTGCGTTATGAGGTTAAAGTGGGTGATAAGTTAAAGTGGTGTAGACACCTAGATCAGATTAAGTCAAGGTTTTCAGACCAAGGTACTGATGTTGATAATGTTACTGATGACATAATTGATGAGTTGATTGATAATCATATGGAAATGAGTGATGGTGAAGTTGAGTGTAATGAAGGTCAGGGTTTGGAGAAAATCCCTAACCCAAGTGTTGCTATTAGTGAACCAGATATTCATGTAAGACGATCAACACGTGTAAGGAAGACACCAACTAGATATATTGAAGAATGTTGATTTGCATTTTATGTTGAGTTGATAATGCATATAAGGTGCGAGATGTGTTGATTACAAAACACAGTAAAGTAGTTGAATTTTAGAGTTCAGTTTTGAGTTTTAATAATATTATATTCACGGTATTAATAGTTCATCCAGCCAACATTATATATAGAAAGGGAGAATGTAGGATATTAGTAGTGTACTATATTAGTACTTGCGTAACATTACCTATGGTGCCACTTTACTCATGTCGCGTATGAATATTCAATTGTATGTGTGATGTGGAATAAAGAGCGTTCATGCTCACGCACCGTGATGGCAAGCAAGCATGTTTATTGACTGTCAAAATTGTTTATATTAAGTTTGCTGTTTACTTTAATTAGTGAATTCACAACACTAGGCCAAATCGAATTACCTCTCGCACTATTAGGCCTAACCTAGTACTACTACATGATGATACATGATACCATGTAGAATCCAACTTAATGTTACAGCACAGTTTATAAATGTGTTTGAAAAAAAATAATAAATAGTTGTTTGCAGTTTGCATGTTACAATTTTATGAAATCTATATTTTGCTTTGCTAATGATGATATCATTTAATTTATTTCTACACTGTACAGTACTGTATATTCAGTTACAAGTTAAAGATACTGTG